TGCATATGTGACGTATGTAGACTTGCGTAGGCGATTAGCCTGTGTTAGTAAGCCATACAAAATGTAGAGCTTCCGCATCGGAGAGATTATAAATTTTATATAGATCTCAAGCCTAAATATTGCATTCTACGGAATCAGCTGTAGTGGAGCTACGAGTCAGATTGTTTTGAGACTGTTAAAATTATTATCGGTTCGAACACACACCTACGCACCCCACGCGGTCTGAGACGTCACATGCCGGCGTCCGAAGAGGCGCAGCATTTGCTTTAAGGCCTTGAAGCCACTATCTAGCACCTTCTTTTCTATGCCACAAAGAAGCGAGCTCTCCATAAGTCACTTTCAGTTTAATTAGTAGAGAGTGTACGTATACATGATTTCTGAGGGGAGTGGCACTTGTCGACTAGGACATTTTAAGATAGGGTAGCTCAGCGATAATGCAAACGGTTTCGGCGCATATCAGCTTTGAAACCTGCATTCTTAATTTGGTATAGCAATTTTCTGCCCCACTTCGTAGTAAATCATTTATTGTATATTTAGCCTTCCAGCTATGTTTCGCCACATTTGGGTCTATTTATACAGCAATACGCAGAAGCTCTACGCGCATCTCGCGTCTTATGAGCCTCTCGCAAAGGTTATGCCTTAGTGTATTCGAAAGTCCTCCTGCTATGTCGAAAAAATATAGTCAGAACAGTTGTTTTGATTTTTAACGCGCAAGGCAAAAATTGTGCACCCAGTAAACATAACACAATATAAAGGGTATTGAGTATGTTGATAATGATAAGAAGATATACAATAGTTACTATTCGTAAGCACTAAAAACTAAACGGGGACTTCTACACCAGTCTCAAGGTGAATATCCAACTAAATACAAAGTTGTGATACCCTATTATATCCTATGACACTATATTAGGTGTAGTAGCTCAATAAAAAGGACGAAAGATCTGCTGCATTCACACTAGCTAGCACCGGGCCTCTTCCAGTGCAAGTTTTGAAGTTTCTCAATCTTTACCAAGAATACCAATCCGATGGACTTACCGATACCCCATCCAACCAACCACCTAGTGTATGAATTTAGAAGTTCTAACCAAACCTTGCACTGCTTAAGGTACAGATATTATTAATTATTATTGATGTCCTTTCTTAGTCTATGCATGTGTAGGGCGTTTGGGTCCCCTCTGCCTACTGGTTAAGGAGACCTATGCTAGTAGCATATCCCCTCCTATGCCTCCCATACAGTTTCAATTAAACAGTACCACCACTCACAAGTCCTCGCCCGATTATACACTCAGAGCAGCCTTTTACAATTCATTCTCTCCTCTCTCTAGCCAACTAAATGGTAGATATTTGTAGGTGCATTACCGCCGGAAAAATAGCAAAGACTGTTGAGTGCGGGGCTATCCTCGACTACATTTAATTGCTGGAGAATCATCAACAAGACAATCCTTTTATATAGGGGTGTCATTCAGTCCTGACTCCACAGATTGCCAGGTGAAAGTAAGAGATTCATACTGGTACAAAATTCTACTCTGGAGGGTAAGACTGAACACCTGTACGCGGTGTCCTCTACGAACCTGGGAGTGAAATACTCTCCCAGAGCCAAGTTCAGTCAAATTTCGCAATATCAAAGAAGTTGGCCCACGAGGCAATGATTCAAATTACTCCACCATGTCAATCTTTCACTCCCAAAGAGTCCGATTCTCAACTAAACTTCATCAAGTCTTCAAGTACGACATAGTACATCCTCATCCCAATGACCACACCACTCTTCGACCTTCTCTGGCCTCAGTTGACCACCAAATACACGCCCACGCTAATATTTATACCCGACGGAGGAAGCAAAGCGTGGAGCACAAATCTAGGAGATAGCTCTTTGGGATGGACGTGAGAGGGATCAGGACAAGTTTACAAGATGATGCAGAAGAGGGATACATTCTTGGCGGGCGTGAAATTTCGAATTTCGGCAAGAGTTATACGAATTGAGCTTTGTGCGCGCCAAGACTTCACTTGCGAGAGTGCAGCTGACACTATAAAAACAAGCCGACGATGGAAGGTGCTGTGATCCGCCTCCTGGTGGTGTTCTCTGGTATAGTTTGAGTAGCCTGGGCACCTACTCCACTTGGGAAGGAGACATCTCAGATTACATTTCGCGCGGAGAAAAGTTGATGGATGACGGAGGCATGTCTGGATAACTCAGGGTTTTTGAGACGTTCCCCTGGGTGGGTATTCACGGATGAGGGTTGACTTGGGGTGAAGAAAAAGCTACCATAACTTCGCAGTGGTACCTGCAAATGAAATCTGAGGCATGAGTGCTACTCTTGTAAATTGAGTCATCTTTTCTGTAATTTTCTTTGATATTGTGTCAAAGCTAGTTAGCTGCATACGCAATTAAAATCTGATGCAAAAAAAAAAAAATCTACTCTTCTATTGGGGTAATAACTAAATTGAGACATTTTAAAAGTTGGATATCGCATGGGTCACCAAGAAATAAAGAATATTCGTTCCCTCAACACTATCGAAATCTCCCACTTTAGCTACATATTACCAAGGAAAACCACGTATCGCAAACAATCCAACAGATAAACCGCAAGAAATTAATTGAATAACCATATTTATATCTGCTATATACTATTACAAATCATCAGTGATTTTTGTACAGGTAAGATAAGTCTCTTGACTTTAGAGTCAATCATACTCTTGATTTCTTTCGCTAGTATTACCGCGAGGTATGTTCATTTGCACTGAACGTTAGACCCTTGTCCGTGAGTACCCACCAAAGGGAAGTTCCAAAACCTTTGATTATCCAAGCGTGTTTTTGTCATCCTATCCATGAGCACCGCCAGTAATGTGGTTGAGTTTTGCCGGATATGAACCAGGGATCCTTCATCTCAAATAGTACAGGAGTCCAAGTGATCTAGACTCTACTAGGGAGACCGGCCCTGATGACGTACCACTACAAGATCTAGAAATGACAAGGTTTTTGGTGTCGTCAGCACTCTCGCAAACCAAGTCGTGGAGCGCACATTGCTCTCCTATATGAAAAGTTATTCCCCAATTATCAAACTTCCAATCCTTCCGAGATTACATCCATCCTTGGCATCGACCTGCCTATCTTTCCTGATCACTCTTACGTCATCCGTGAAGATCTGTCTATGAAGACTTGAGCGCTGTGATTAGTCCGTCCCTGCGGATATTCATATCCTCGTGTGCTTGCATTTGGAGGCCAGCTAGAGCAACGATGAGTGTGATCGTTTTTCAAAGAATGTACTGGGTCATAATCGCAGACTCAATGAGGCACCAGCTGGAAACCTTGCATCATTACCTCGGAAGCCGACATATTTTGTATTGCAAAATTTTACTGAATCTTAGCCCTGCAAGAATGTCTTATCTCCAGATTTTGTATTCGTGCTTTAATTCCATTCGTGCTTTAACAAATTAAAAATAATCTGTTGGCCAACAAATGTTGAGAAAAAAGGATTTATTTTAGGTCAAAGCCCTGTTCACACGTGAGAGTTCTTACTTTGTAATTGATATAATCACTGAAAATGAGGTGGAAAAATGGGCAGTATATCAGGGCTAGGTTCTCAGTATGTTATAGTAAACTTGCGCACTATGGTCTCGCGCCACGGAAGATTTCTAACCCAACTACATCTTGTCTCAAATGTACTACTCATAGAAATTTTAATTAGAGAGATCTAGTTACATGAAGTCCACCAGATTTTTTAATGTCTGATTAGGTGAATAAACGTAGACGAAAGTTAATTTTATTGTGCTGTCATGTATATTTGGGGTACACTTGCTAACAAAATAGGATGTATGAGTTTGTATAGAGTCTGTGATATGACAGGAACGTAAAATACCGACTTTTTGACACTAAAGCTGAGTTCGTATAAATTTATTTTAAAATAGAAAGCGAAGACTAGTCATCAATGCAAGCGTTTTTGACAACTTGAAATGTTTGGTATAACGCACAAAACAGCTTATTGTGGTTAATTAACGTGAACGGTGGTACGAATTATGCAATGTTACGGAGGTTCTACAGTCGTATGGAACCATCCACCTCGCTTTCCACTTCAGGGCCTGGATACAACGACTTACAAAGGCTGTTGGACTTCTGATGACCAGTGCGATTGATCTCGAAATCTACTAGTTATCATGGGCTGGCCGATAGACTATGAATACTTAAGCCCAGTAATAATTATGCTCCAAAACATCAGCTGGACTATACAGAATATCTCGTCTTATTTTTCTAGTCAGCAACATGACTCGTCTTATCCAAGAATTTACAACCACCTGATTCGAGCAGCCCGATGAAAACTAGAAATGTGCGCGCAGTGCAAGATATGCTATAGAGCATGCTTGCTCAAGTTTTTATCCCTACGACTTGGAAAAATCACTCATTTTCATCGATATACGCAATAACTTACAAAGTTTCCACACTTCTAAATAATCATTTAACCTAAACTAAGAACAAGCCTGGCGTTCCTACATGGCACTTATCCGGTCCGACCAAGTGATTGAGCCCCACCAAAGTCAATGCCTGATCTTCTGATAGTAAATGTCTGGAATATTTCGGGCGAATTCCTTCATCATGCAGTCCTACGAGTCAGTTTTTGGAGGTGGTGGCACTAGCTCCCAGAATCTATATACAATATTATCAATGATAGCTTCCCATTTTCTTGTTTACAATGCATATTTATATTATTTCTCAATTATTATCATCTCCTGCTGGCATTTAGGAAATATTCGAGCATTACTCAAGAAAAACGGAGTCTGTAACAACTATCTGGGGCACCCTTGAGAGCAGTTCGAATAACTTTGATGGTAGTATTTTGGCAGAAGCTGGTACTAAAAAACTTCTCCGCTATGTGGAGCGTCTGTTGAGCTCTAATTCTACCCACTACGGTACAGTTTGAGCAAATAGATTCGATCTAATCTTAGCAGTCCAACTATATCAGAAAGGCATTTCAAACTCCGCGCAGTCCGAAAGCGTTGTAAACGTTATGACTTCGGATTATGATCTTTATGTCAACAAAGGTTCCAAGGCTCTTATTTCCGCCATAATATTTCCTATCCTCGCATTTCTAGTTGCAGTCTTGAGGCTATATACACGGGTGAGAATCATCAGGAATCCAGCACTTGATGATTTGTTTGCAATCATCGCTCTGGTAAACGTTGCGATTTATGCTAAGGAATGATGGACTAAAGTGGGACAGCTATTCTCGATTTTTGCATCGGTATGTATTGCTCTTCGTAAGTCAAACTTTTTGCTCGTTTAAAATCAAATTTGAGTAGTCTTAGAAGTTCAAAATGGAATGGGAAGACACTTTAAAACTTTGCCCTACGATAGCCGCATGAGATTCTACCAGGTAATTAATGCCAGCTTTCAAAACTACCACCAATAATTGCAAGACTTTTAACCTGCGTTCAGTTCCTTTACGCCAACATTCTTATCTACAACTTCGGCCTTCTTTTTACTAAAATTTCTATTCTCTTCCAGTACCTTCGTATAGCTACCAATAAAAGGATACGTCTTGTTTGCTATGCAGTAATGATTTTTACCAGTGCCTATGGTGCAACAGCTCTCATAACAGGAATTTTTCATTGTTGGCCTATTTCAAGATTCTGGAACAGGAGAATTGCCGGAAAATGCGTCAAAAATCCTATAATCTGGTTCCTTCATGCTGGATTAGAAATTACAACTGATATAATCTTACTGACGCTACCTATGTTCATACTTAAAGCAGCATCTCTGCCAAAAAAGCAGAAGTTTGTTCTTTGCCTGACGCTATCTCTCGGTGGTTTGTGCGTCTTCCATTCAAAATTTTTAAGGTAGAAATTAACATGATACTAAGCGCAGTAATAATTTCAGCTTTACGCTTATACTCACTTTACCTTGTTTCCGTTTCCAAAGATATCACGTGGGACATTACAAACATGACTGTCTGGTCCATCATTGAGTTAAATGTCGGCATTATTTGCTTATGCGTATCGACTCTTAGACCTCTAATATCGCGACTTCAATCACTTTTCTGTCGTAAAAAAGTCCCTGACTCAGATATCCGACGAACTAGTGTCATAGTTACACATGGAAGTGAGGCTGATATTGGCCCCTATACTAATGGATACAAGGGAAGGCCAAGCGAGAGCCAGGGGAGTGCAACTAATTCTGGGCCAGAAGCATCTGACAAAAAAGAACTTGTCTTAAATCCACTGCCAAATTATCCAGCTTTGGTTTATGTCAGTACCAGAGAGCAGTGCTGATATTTCGAACTTTTGGAGTGTGGTATTTTATAAGACACAAAATTATTTCTTGAAACGTACGAAAAAGAAGATATTCAGCTTCATTTGTATCATTTCCCGGACTAAAGAATCAGATATCCAGCCGAGCCGTAAAGCTATGATGGCTTCATACCGCGTCTCTGAATGATCTCGCCGTCTCCAAAACGATTGGTCGTTTACATATAATTTCCAACGATAATACGGTATGCTCTGTGTCAAATTAAAAAATTTCCATAAATAAATCTAGAACATGCAGCAGCATCTAATTAAGGTGAATAGAAAGGTTTAATGCGTCTATAAAAAGACGAAATATAAAAGTTGGGGCTGTAAATGTACCCGGAGGTACAAAGATTTATAACTCAAAGACGACAGATTATCGCATATATTCAGATTTCAGGCAAGAAGTAACCTATATACTTTCCTGATAGAGATAGTAAAGAGTCATATGAATACGATTCAATTTCTAATGAAGTTCAAATAACTTAAACCTCATGGCTTCAAACCAGAAAGGTTTACTGACGAATAACGTACAACTATCGATTGTCGCTTGTTGCTACCTTTTTGCAAGTTTCATGAGGCTAGAAACTTCTAACTGCAAGCAAAAGATGCAACTCTATCGGACTTTTTTCCAATAACTGAAGCGTTAAACGCTTCCTTGGGTGGATAGGTCATTCAGCAAGATAGTTGGACAATTTCTAGACCCTTAGTGACTACTAACCGTTTATACAAAGGTTATTTTTCCAGGCCTGGTAGAATTGTCGTCCTAGCTTGATAAGATATAGTGAGGAACCAGTCCAACATATGGATCGAGATCGGGACATTTGAATATCCTGAGAGGATCGCTACACGTCTAGAAGCTGAACGGCACTTCTAGGGCTCTTGTAATAAAGTAGGGAAAGTTTATAATTTCTTGGAGTTATCCGGGCCCGATAGCTAGCTATTAATGAATAATATTTATTTGTTTTCTATACCATCTAATTCCTTTGTACAGGTTCATAAATACAAATGGCCGCAATATAAATAAAAACGCTTTTGAGAAAGAAAGCCAAGTGTCCTGCCGCAATGACACGACCCAGCTTAATGGCGCTGACGTTTCTTGAACCTATGATTCCTAATTATTACTGCGAGTTACGTGGATTCTCCCTTCAATTACACTCAAATCAGGGAGGGTTGAAAAGACAGGACATCTCTTCGTTTGGCACTGGCCACTGAAATATTTGAAGAGATGGCCCTTGAGGCCGTGCTTCTGCCAGTGCGCTGAAGAATACCTTTTCGGGCCCCGACTTGGTCCAGCAGTCTTCTTACTGGTGACTCAAGTGGAAACCTGGTCATAAGTCGGTCCAGCTGTTTTAGGCATGCCGAAGTCTATTTTTCCATCCATCTATCCGCTGTTTGGGTCACAAGCTTCATCTAAGCTTCCTCCACGCTTCCCTTGAAAAACTGATGGGTGCGACACGCTGCTTTCTACCATTTACGGTGTTTCTTGCTGAAGTTGGCACGGGAACCCTTTTTATACCGACAGCCACGAGGTTAGCAAACACTTGAGCATTCATTGCACCAGGCTTTCTTTCTATGCAATGCCTGTGCATATCCCCACAGGATACAGTTGAAGCATTACCATGGCTATTCCACAGGTGGCCAGTTAGCGCAGTGCGTAGCATGACATTAATTACAATACTGTGTCGCAGCACTTGACTCGCACCGCCTCCGAAGGAAGACTGATCACGCATGAGCCTCTATTGCGGCCATTTTTCTTTAACCGCTCGTGCTCCTCCCGTCAAGAAGCCACCTTTTTCACTTAATCACTAGCCTCGGTCGTCGCCAGAATTTCTCGAAGATACCAGTGTTGGGGGCGTCTCTTCCCCACTCGATTTTTGTCCTCAATTGGACTCTGAAAATCTCAATGGATGATCCTTGCCTAGGAATCCAAAGTTTCTCAGACGGACTGTGCCTGGATTGGGGATGGTCACTAGGACCACCCCGTCTAGGAATTTAAGCTACAACAGAGTAGCGCTTCCGAAGTGCGGAGACTGCGCACAAGAGGGTATCCACGGGGGTACATACAAGAAGGGAGGATTTTGTAGAAGAAGCTGAGTGCGAGGTCCTCACATGATGCTAAAACTGTTGAGAATCTCTCTGATCAGACTTTCGGGAATTTCTGGCTGAATTCGCGAAAAGATAATTTGTAAACAAAGAGCTGCTCGCTGTGGTTGGATAATTCGGGAAGTAGAGGTTCATAGTAGCAGCCCTAGCAAGAGCTGCAATTAAATGAAACAATCTTCGCCTCTTTGAATAATATTTCCATGTCACATGGTTCGGGGTAATGAGTTTTGAAGTTTGGAGAGGAAGTTTGAGGGTGCAACGAGCTATGACGAAGTTATTAAGATTTCGATAAAATAGAACGGAAAACTGGCTAAAAATTAGTATTATTCGCGAACTCAACGTTAGCTCTCAGCAGAGCTTAGAAAATGTCGATAGGAAAACAAGATAGAAGTGTAGACAATCGAAGAACAAAGACCTGGATCTCATCGAATTTAATGATTTTCGTTTTTATGATCGATGATTTGTGATTTGTGAAATTTTCCGCTTTTTGATAGAGTTCAGGCGTCGAGAGTGATTTGGGCCTGTGAAGAAACTCCAGTCGGCTCCACTGGCCCTGCGCCCCTAGTCGATTTGTAGCTTCAACCCAGGAACTTAATGCTCCAACAATAGGTTCTTGAAAAAACCCATATTTTCCTGCTATGGCCCAGGCATGTGTTAGAAATCTTATGTAACTTGAATCTTCGGTCAATTCCTATTCTGCATCGCAGACTGACCAGAGTAGGATATAATGGAATTCAAGTCCCTATTGATACTCTGACGATACACTGCTAAAGGCTATGTGTAATCTCTTCAGAATTAGCTAGTTTTATATTTCCTTTGTTCTCGATATTTTCCGATTGACGCTGAGGACCTTGCCCTGGCAGACCAGCTGGATAAAATTTGGCAAAGTGTCAACTTGTGCTCTTTATTGCCGCAGAAAATATGAAGTTTCCCGGGCTATTACTTCATGAGACAGGGTCAGAGCATACATGATTTTCGAATATCTCTGGATTGGTTTGGTGTTTCTCTGACTTGTAGTAGTACTAACTATCTACGTCTAACTAGGCACTAAAATAAGTAAAAAGAATTGCTCAGATATCCAAGGAGGGCCGAAGGTCTTGTCATTTCCTATCTCATCATTATGAACGATGAAGGAACGAGTAGTAACCCTTATAGATAGTTCTGAAACAGAGTACTAGCCAGTCAACCATCTTATTTCCCATGTCCATTTACAAATAGTGATCTTCAGTCCAGCGTCCAGTGACATGAATAGTGCTCGTTAGACTGGCAGATATGAAGTAGTCGCGACAAAGTTTTGTATATTGACACAAATGAGTCTATGTGAATTAACAAGATGATATCGACAACCACATTTCTTCTATGCTAAGCTTAGCTTTCCCATATTCTCGCTGCTTGTAATGAGGATTTGAACGTTACATTGTCGTTTTGTTTCCGATAATCCCGAGTTTCTGAAATGTGGAATGATTTTCGGTCCTACTGGAGTTATTTTTGCGTATCCTTATCTATTGTATTTTCGGGGCGCTATTTGTAGATTCACGCTCTAGTAGAGCCTGCACCTCTTCCGGCGTCTGAGTCTTTAGTTGAAGTGCGTGGATTCCCCCTTCTCTTGCTAACTCGTCCTTCATAAGTGCGTAAACCATTCTGTGTCGAGCAGGCTGCATCTTGGAAGAAAATGCCTCGGATGTGATTGATAGCCTGAAGTGAGTTTCCCGTGAAGTGCTCCCAGCCATAGCCTCGTGGTGTGCATGAAGATGCGAGTCGTTGTGGATTTGAAGGTCGGTCGGCTTGAAGGCCTCAATGATCTGAAGTGTTCAGTTTATCACGTAGCAATACGTAGGAAGGTTTCGACAAAACTGTACCTTTTTGCGTATTATGTCGGCCATGGGTGTTAGGGAAGTCATTGTGGATAGAAGCCGGTACTGAGTTGCTGCGATAGAAAGCAGCATTTCGAGAATTTATTTTGCAAGCAAGACTTATCGACTTTCTACCCTCCTTACCCAGCACAGGCTGATACTTTGAGACTATACTATGGCGTTCAGCCGCAACGTAGCTTTGCTAGTGATGACTAATTAATTTACAATCGTGAGGTTTCATTTACATGATTACACAAATCTTGTTTTTATGTCTGAAAAGACGTTGTATGGTCATTGGTATGTTTTCTGTCCAATAAAGTGTAGTAATGTGCTTAATTGAAGCCTTTTTCCTTCGGTATCACCGACCACGACCCATCATTCAAGAGCCCGCTAAGAATAGCTTCAAGTCCTTGACAATTTCCTGTTGAAATTCAAGAAATCGATGACCCTAATTTTTTTAAAAGTTACATTCTGTCCAGTTATGTAGCTATGAAAAGACCAATATTCATGGTTGAGCAGTTTCTGGTGAAAATATCAATGACTGCTGGATGAGGGGGTCCAACGCTCGGGATACCAGCACTAAATCTGGTGACACAGCCATCTATCTGAGAAAATCTAAGAGACATTCTAAGAGGATGGACAGTTAGGTGCTATGGGCTCGTGTGTACCTATGAATTTCAGCCTCCATCATTCATGCTTCCTTCCAAAATATTCCATCATTCACGCCCTTCCAAAAATCGAACAGAACTAAATTAAATTTCCTACTGAGTCCATGACTGTGAAGGAGGCTTGAAAGCAGACAAAATGCCTCTAAAATTAATTATTTTTATATCATTTTGAATTTCAATATTTTCCAACTGACCCTGAGGGTCTTGCCCTAAATCGAAAAATCGAAGGTCGTGTCGAAAAAGTAGCAAAGTCTAAGCACGGCATATTTCTTGTACTACAGCTAAGCTCAAATTGTTCGTGTATATCTGGGTACTAGAGAGTGCCGTAGACATATTGACAATGAAGTCCTCCCGGCTAGGCCCTGAATCAGTCTTGGCTCTGCAGACCTTACGGTGAAAGCTGGAGGTTCGTAGGGGGCACTGCATACAGATGTTGAGTATGCATCTCCTTGAAGCTTTCTATTCAAACTGGAGTAACTTTGATATTTTCTACTTCAATATCTGATGCTTGAGAGGAGACACCCGACACTTTGAAATGTGACCCGCGAAATGGGTCCTGATGATTTATTTCTACCTAAATGACTCACACCGATCCAATTCTCATGTCTCCAGCAAAGCGTTAAAAATATTGAGAGGTATCACAACCCTTCAAGCTAATTGCATATTACCTAAGTAAAATCACCAAAATTCATATCATGATAATCAACGAACAGCCCTGTACATATCCTGTTGGAAAAACGTAGACTCTAGGCCTGAATGCTAACATCCGCCTTGACTCAAGCCTGTAGAATTAGCGACTGCGCCCACTACTGTCTCGGGCTACGGATACGCATCAAAAGCAGACTTAGTCTTGCCAGAGTTCATGACTTGAGAGTCCAGAGAGCGTTCTGACTCTTGCCAGAAGCGTAACTTATAATACCTCTTTATTCTCTGGCACCAGATCAGCCGAAATCTTGTTGGACAAGCATGGAAGAAAAAATTATATTTAAAGGATAGTGGCCAACTAACCTGCCATAGGACAGTTAGTGAGTTAGTGACAGACTCAAATAGCACAATAAATCTACATGCTCACCATCTAACATATTGGGCTCCGCTCTGACCCAGGCCACACCTTGTACAGTGCTCCTAGCTTTTTTGTTACTTGAAAAATCATCGATATGTTGCCTACGATAAATAGCCATTTTGCTCAGTGTTTAGCCGTGGAATTCGGCCACCTTTTCCACGGAACCATCTACCCAAAAAAATGAAAAATGAAAAAGTCACAAAAAACCTGCAGTCTCAGCCAGGCCAGGCCTAGACACCAGTGCCACATGAGGTACGCATATTAATCTATATCTCCCTCCTTTGTAACAGTCGAGGCCAACTTGATCCAATCCACCATTGCCGTATCGGGTGCTGGGTTTGCCCCGGAAACTCATCGGATGGCTTTTCCTCCATGATCAAGGGTGGGTGATGAGAAGGGCCCCGACCCTACTAACTGATCTGATCGTGGTTAGCTTCATGATAATGGTGATAGTTGAATGTGTTGAGAGATGAAGACGATACAGACCACGAAAGCGATAGGGAATCCTCGTCGAAGTGAGGACTTTGTTATTCAATATCGGCTCTATGGACTCTACAGTAAGAGCTGGAGGCTCGCAGGGGACACAACTGACAGGTGTTGAGAGTAGTCCCCCTGTAGCTACATTGTGTTTAGGTAAAAGATAGATATTAGCAACATTAACTTGTTATAGCTTAAAATTATATAACTTCTGAGCCTTCCTATTTTCAATAGAACCTACTAAAATATCACTTCTAGGCTCCTCTACACGCTAAGATGGAATTAGTGATATAGGGTATATAAGTTCTCCAAACGTTATACCATCTTTACTCCAAAGTAAATAATAATTACAACCATAAATCCATAGTGTTAAGGTTCAAGAATGATTATGTTTGACCAATACTCTTATGATTTAACGCTGATTGTATATTTTCATAAGTTAGTGATTCATGACTAGTAGGTGTCTATATGACTGCCAATATTGTGCAATTGCTGAGTATCGGCTTGGCTTCGGATATTGGGTAATTCCACATCTAGCCGAACATTCAATTAGTATTGATAAATGCACTCATAACTATCCTTTATGTTAAATCTGGGTAACTTTTTATCACATTCCTAAACAATCTTGGCGACTTCGGGTATGGTGGGTCTATCTGTGTTACGGTTTGACCATTATTTGAGCTTAGGCAGGTGCCTAGGCGTAATATTGAGAATTTCAACAATGCAGCTAGATGGGGAGGGATCTATAAAGCTGAATGAAACGGCACTGCTCGTCAGGAGGTTGAGGTGTTCTTACAACTAAGTGATACCCGGCCTTGCGTGGCTGGGTACCAAGTATTGTGCCTAGAGGTAAGTCATCAGCCTGTGGATTCACGAAGGGGATAACTTCTCATAAATAACTGTTAGCGATAGCTAGAGGTCCATTTATCCTCATATAATTTAATTAATCGATTTATTCATCATCAACTCGGCCTTCGTCACAATCTGCTTGTCTTTAAAGTGGATGTAGTAATTTACTATTTTTAGGAGTTGAGGAATGGTGCACTTATAGTTGCGTTCCCTCCGCATGTTATACTATATCAGATCGGAGTCCTGTACCTTAGCCATTGTTAGCCAAGTCATTGTTAGAAACCAACACACATACCCAAGTTATCAAGTCTTTTGTTCGAACTTATCGCATGTCTACGAGTCACAAGCACACCACACCACGTCACATATACCATAATATATACAAAGGTAGTCTTCAGCTTTAGGAACTCATTCTTCAGAGAAATATCATTCAAATCCTATGACTATAAGATTGCTCTTGCATGTTGTAATGAAAACGTGACACCTTAGATGGATAGAGAAATATTTGTAGTTATCAAAGTAATCATGACAAAACAGTAAAATGCGTTTATTCAAATATCTAATGAATTGAAACTAAGTACATAATTATTAAAAATGTGCGTATCAACAATATAGCCTGCTTTATGGCTCTAATTTTTCTACCTTCGAAACGAGCGTGATAATTTCAGACTTGGACATAGAGCCGATGTGGTAGAGGAAGAATCTGCGTTCTCTCGTTCATTTAATGGTTTCTTGGACTGATAGACTTGACCTTATTTGACACATGATTGGACTGTTCAGCAATTTTATCATTCAAGTAGAAAAGGTTTTGTGTACTCTACACAGTAGAACATTTGATCTTGAGTAGTCCCAGTCGTATGGTTTCTCAATGTAAGATTTTTTTTGCCAAATACTTGATAAGGCAGAAAATTGCCGGGTAGAAGGAGAGTTTTTTACTTTTCGGATTTTTTGTAGCGTGCCTCGAGTCATTCAAAGACGCTTGGCGGAATTCTTGCGCGTAAAATATTAAGCTTAGTGCTGCTATCATACCAAGCATCTGAACTCTGCAGTAAAGCTTTCTGGTCGCTAGGTATTAGAAAATAGCGACGTGGAATGCGTTGTGATCTCTTCAATAGTCCCTCAATTTTGTCACAATTGATGCTTTGGCTGGGTTTAGACTGTCTTCTTTCTTGATCTATCCACTGACATAAACTAGAGTCCGTAGATTCAATGGGGAATTTCTGTTCCTGTGATAAATCCGAGGCTAGAGAATTGCAAACCTGCTCTGGAATTTTTGCATGTTGGGTTTTGTGAACTGCATCAGGATCGTACCAAGCGTCTGGACTATCGAGCAGAACTCTCTGATCTTCTGGAATCACTACATATCGGCGTGGAATACGTTGATCTGCTTTGAAGGCTCTTCTGTGCTGCTGGGTGTGAGGTAAATTTGAGGTCTCAGTCAGTGGCTGATCTATTTTTGTCTCATTTACATCGATTTTGATATCTAGACTTGCGTTGTTCTGGTAGCTTTCTCCAAAATCGACTCGTGAAATGCAATATTCGTCAGCTTTACAAGTCTTCGAGAAATCACTTAATTTCTCGGCTTTGTTTTTGCGTTCTATTATACTTCCAGCCTGTGATGAATTGTTGGGAAGTTTTGCCGGAAATGATTTTTTTAGTGACAAATCAGATGAGGCATCTCCAAGCTTCGATAATAGAAGTAATTTGGGGTCAACTTGATCTTCGCATTTAAATGAGTGACACCCAGTAGTATCATTTCCAAGCAGGGATAGTAAGTATGGCTTGCAGTCAACTTGATCTTCGGATTTAACCACGGGGTAAGAATTCAACAATGAGCCTTTTTCGGGGATCTTGTTGGAGATCTGACTCTCAAATACGCCCTGAGAAGAATCATATTGTTCATCGGATTTTATAATTAACTCCTGAGTAAATGGTGATTCTAAAATATCCTGATCGTGGTCTTGTATATTGTTTTCCATGGGATTGGCCGGAATATAAAATGTTCCAATTATGTGATTCTTTGAAGACTCGGTTAGCCCCCGGAATCCTTTTTGATTATCGATATCTTACAAATAAACCAGAATTTATGCAGTGATAACAGATAGGTTTGTGATAGGTGTGTGTGAAGTATAGTGGCTCTCTTGAATAAGATGCAAGATTCGCGATGGACAAGCAACGAATTTTAGAGGTTTCAATACTTCAATTCAAGGAAGAATAGAAAAGTTTTTTGGAGGATGTAGAATTGCAAATAATGTGGTTTGTATAAATAAATTGCCTTATCATTAAGCTGCGTCTACATATACAGATAAATGTATTAGTAAATCTAATCTGTTACTGTTGCTTTAACGTGAAATTAAGAGCAAATTCTACTCGCTTACTATCTTCTTGTATGTATTTTTGTTCTGTAACCATTGGGGTTTTGTTACAAAGTTGTATTTACAGTTGTAATGATTCTGTAACCACAGCAATAAAGATAGCTCTCCTCACCCAACAGGTCTATTGAATTTATGGCCCGGTTAGTGTTCTCCGTCCTATGCCTCCTTTATGGCTACTCTCCGTCATTTAAACTCCCACAGCTCTTCATTTGAATACTAACTTATATGAGCCACTATTCACTTATTTTCTCCTCTATCTATCCAACGGAAAAGATAGCCGCTTGGAGTTTAATGTTTAGTTGTGCATGGCATATTTCGCTACCTGAGCCATAAATTGTCTAGCACATTGCGCTCCCCTCTGACTCAGGTTACACCTTTTGCAGCGCTCTTATCGTCTTTAGTTTTATTTATAATTTAAAGTACATTCAGCTATCCAGCTATGACACATGACCAGTGTTATATATAAACGTTTGATGACTCTTGACGTTAGAGACACTCATACTCTGGATTTCACTCGCAAATACCACAACGATGTATGCTTGCTTACACAAAAAATCGACCGTCCTCCTAATTACCCACCAATGAGAAGTTTCGAAACCTTTGGTCGCCCTAGCTGGCCTTTGTTATCCGTGAACAACTGCACCACGAGAAATGTGGTTGTGTTGTGCTGGATTCCAACTAGCGATCTCCTGTCTCGAGTGGGATATGTGTCCAAGCTGTTCAGAATCAGTAGTGAGACCTAACCAGATAATATGGCAACGCGCCATCCAATCATTGCAGTGTTTACAGTGTCGCTTGCACTCTCACGACCGAAGCCTTGGCGCGTATATAGCTCAACTTGTAAAAGCACTCGCCGAATTTACAAGTATGCCAGGGGGACTATTCTCAACACCTGTCAGCCTTGTCACCTACAAACCTCCAGCCCTCACTGTAGAGTCTGCAAAGCCGAGATTAAGTATTAAAGTCTTCACTTCAAAGAGGATTCCCTATCGCTTTCGCCGTCTGTATCGTCTTCTTCTCTCAAAACATTCTCCTATCACCATTGTCATTCAGCTAACCACGATCAGATCAGATGGTAGGGTTGAAGTCCTTCTTGTCACCAACACTTGATCATGGAGAAGAAGCCATCCTACGAGTTCCAGAGCGTAGCTAGCACCCGATACGGAGATGGCGGATCGGATCAAGTCGACCTCAACTGTTACGAAGAAGGGAGATATAGATAAATATGCGCAGCTCATGTGGTTCCGATTTATAGGCCTCGCCTGGCTGGGGCTGCAGGTTTTTTGAGACCTTTTCCCGCGCACGCAGTTTCCATTGCTACCATTTTTATTTTTTTGGGTAGAAGGTTCTGCGGAAAATGTGGCTGAATTCCACGGCTAAACACTGAGCTGAATGGCTATTTATCGTGGGAAATGTATCAATGATCTTTCAAGTAACAAAAGAGGCAAGGAGCACTGTTCAAGGTGTGGCCTAGGTCAGAAAGGAGCCTAATGTGCCAGATAGTCTTAGTCTCAAGTAGTACAATAAACATAACTCCCTCTTTTTTACCAATAGGTCTAAAGTGAGTAGAGGTCGAAGGTCTAATGCGCAAAGCGCTCACTCCGAAGTAGAAAGCTTTAATTTTGGCTTTCAAATTACGACATGGCTGTGATAGTGCGTGAGGGAACGTGATAAAAAGAAGTCTTGCACGGAAGGGCGGAAGGTAGTGTCGGCTCGGCTTCGTTAGGTCTACTCATGATCGACGCCGGCAAATTTGCGTCGCAAGCATTAGGTCCCATGGGCATGATTTCTCTAAACTGGCGGTCCATCGATAATCCTTCATATAACTAAAAGAAACCTTGCCATCTTCTGTAAAGTAGCGAATTATATCTACCTACTCACCCGAACAATGGGCTCCCTGACCCAGCTTCTGTATCTAGCAGTTCATCCAAATCAGCTTAGGTCCATATTACAATGGTTCGTCTTCAGTTAATCTTGACGATTCCTTATTGAAATAGACAGGAAATTATGGCACGACCCAGTTCACGCACGAAATCAAGAAAAAGAATCACCAACTCTCAAAGAATGTTTCAAATACCTTACGTTGACTAGTCGAAGCTTTTCCTCAGTGATACAAGAGTTAAATCCTAAGTTACTCGTACCGTGTACACTTTTCTATCTAATCTTAAGAGGCCTTGATACAATCGAAGATGATATGACTATACCATTAGAATCAAAAGAACCCCTTCTTAGAAATTTTCACAAAATCCTTGATGAAGAAGGCTGGAATTTTAATAGAAACGGCCCAAATGAAAAAGATAGAGAGTTACTCGTACACTTTGATGTCGTTATTTTTGAATTTAATTTGATCGACACCGCATACAAAAAGATCATTATCGATATTACAAATAAGATGGGTAATGGAATGGCCGATTATGCTTTAAACGCTGAACATAACATCAATGGAATAAATACTATCGAAGACTATGAAAATTACTGTCATTATGTCGCAGGATTGGTCGGTGACGGGTTAACAAGGCTCTTTGTAGAAAGTGGCTTTGCGAACCCAGCGTTACTGCAGTGCCCAAAACTTGCGGAATCTATGGGGCAATTCCTGCAGAAGACAAATATAATCCGTGATATACGAGAAGACTTTGATGACAAAAGACGGTTTTGGCCTAAGGAAATCTGGTCTAATCATGTAGAAAAATTTGATGACTTATTCGAGCCCGCTAACCTACAAAAAGCTTTAAACTGCAGTTCAGAAATGGTTCTTAATGCACTTTCACATGTAGAAGACTGTCTTTTCTACATGGCTGGAATCAGAGATCAAAGTGTGTTTAATTTTGTGGCAATTCCTCAATCAATGGCCATAGCAACCCTAGAACTTGTCTATCAAAATCCAAAAATTTTCGACAGGAATGTTAAACTTTCGAAAGGTGATGCTTGCCAGTTAATGATGGATTCATCAAAGAACCAACGTTCTGTGTGTGAGATATTCAGAAAGTTTGCGCAACGCATACACAAGAAGAACACTCCAAAGGATCCTAATTTCCTACAGATTAGTATCGCTTGTGCTAAGGTATAGCAATCAATCCGTATTTTCCTCTTCCAAAACTAACTATATATAATAGATAGAAAAATCTATCGAGACACTATATCCGTCACAGGATCCTAAAAAGTTGTCTCTAATTCATCAGCCTAGCACAGCCGAAGAAATAGCTCGCAAGTCTGAGGCGGCGAAAGATTTATTCTATCTTTTCATCGCTGTACTTGGTACATTACTTGTGATATCTATGACTATGGTAAGTTGAATTAGAATATTTTTCTGAGAGATCGATCTAAATAACGTTTTCAGATAGGAGCTGCATACCTAGCTGGTGCGCGTCCTTACTATGCGTTAGAAGAACTAAAGAAGCTCAGCGCGACTCATTCACCTAGAAGTGAGCAAGTACGTTCAGAGCTGTAATAGAGCTTTTATGAAAAATTTAGAGGCAAGATATGAGTTAATCTCAATTTTGCGTGAGCTAATTTCTCACCGAATTATTAACAATAAACAGCCTAAAAGAGAAGTCCTCACTTTTATAGACGTCGGCCAATATTTCCGAGGTTTAGTAATAAATTAGAGCACATCAATGGCCCGCAGCCTCCTGATATCGATGACTCAGCACAATAAAGCCTTATGCGTACACAATTAGGGACTCTTTTACAAAGTAATTGGAACTTATCTAGTCATGAAAAGCTTGGATCTACTTGTTCATGCCTCACCGGAAAACTTATCAAAATATTGTAATTCCTGTATGAACTTATTTCAAGTAGAGATGGGGGGCACAAAATGCGATTTATGGCCGCGTTGTAACGTGAAAGCAGATTATTCCCATGCTTGGTATTTTGTACGAACAAGTTCGAACGAGTCCTAAAGTTTCCCTGAAACTATTTGCGAATTAGATGGCTCCTTAAAAATATGACGCGGTATCATCAATGTTATTTTAACAATAGAACTAGTTCGTATCTATTATTTTGTCACCCTCTACTTCGTTATGTATATACTTTTGAGGAATTGGTTCCACGCGATGTTCCTGATGCCAACTATTTGGTGCTATGATCATAATTAGTTATGTAATTTTTAATCCCTGTCATCATTGATCACCTTGAAGAATGTATCTATTCATAGCTTCTCGGAAACGACTTTTGTATTCCTGTGAAAAGATTAGACTTTATTTATGGCTTTCAAGGGGTGACTTACTTTAGGAGAAGTTACTGTCGGACGGTTGCGACCACCTCCCGCAAAACCGCGATCTAGAAGTTATCAATAATGGAGCAGTAATATTGTGTCAATTTTTTACCCTTAATCCATGATTCAAGCTTTTTATCCTTTGGATTGTTAGCCTGTATTCAAAGAATCATCTCGACTAGATAAATTACCCAAGTGTATGTTCTGACCACATCAATGATACCTACAACTAATTCTTTTCGGGCCTGAATTTTTGATTGGTCAGCCCAGTTATCCAAGCAATAGAAAAGATAAAATTTTTATTTTTACCTCGTCAACTGCTATCATCAGTGAGTAGTCCATTACGTCATTTCTTTGTAAGAATAGCGTATCATTGAAAATCGCAGCTCGTAAAAGTTTTTTGGAATGCTAATAAAGATTAGTTCGCTACTTCTTAAGGATTATGCCAGGTCTCACTTCACGCGCGAATAGTGGAGATTCGTAAATAAACTCAACCATGTTCTCATCAAGAAGGACTTCATTCTGCTCGCCTGTGGACTGAATCTTACGATTTCGCATCGATCCCTTAAGATCAAATATTCTAGTTGGGTATCGGTCATAGAATAGATTTTCCATTAGCAAAACATCCCATTTAATCTCTGTTCCTGTCTCTTGGTTTTTGATGATAATTTCGTAAAATCCAAGAAGCTTTGCAATTACAGTGGGAAGATCGTGAAACAAAGCCTCGGCCATGATATTAAAGTAAGCTGGTGCAAACTTCAAAAATGCTTCAGTTTCGATCTGTGATAAGGATTTTAAAACAAGACGGTCATCTAAAGTTTTAAGAAATACTGATTTTGTTTTTCCACCCTTGGAATCCCATTTGAGACATCGTGACAATGATTCCACGATGCGCTCTGAGACTCCACATTTTCGTCGAACTGCATCGAATTGCTCGGCAAAATATATCTTACAATGCATCCGAGCAGGACCATCGTCAAAAGAATAGGCTAAATGAGTACCTGTCGCTCGCAGTAATGAAGTTTCGACTTTGGCTTCATTTAGAGCATCTCCTATAGATTCATGCATCTTACCACCATTCGGATGTAGACTTTCTTCTATTTTACCGTTTGATTGCCCCTGACTCCGAATATCTTCTAGTTTATCTTTGTAATCTTGTGTTTGTAAAGCAAAAGCTATTAACGAGCTAGGTTCATCTTCTCTAACAATTACATCAACATCTGCAAAGATATGATCACCAGCACTCATCGGATAATCTAAAGTTGTCCATCCACTTGCGCTCCGTTCAGCCCAGAATTTTGTGAGTGTCTTAAGAAGGCTGCTTTTTTCTCCTTTCGGTATGTCAAGGGGTGATTCTGAGCTAGATTTCCTAGCTCCCATGGTCCCGAATATGTCTGAGCCTATAGAAATATTTTTTCCTGGCGAAAATTGATCGTCAACTTCACCATTGTCATCTGACACATCCCGACTAGTAGCGGGTCGGTTATCCTCTCCTTCAGTAATCGTCCCGTACGTGGTAGTAGCTGTACCAGTAGGAGAGGGTAAAATCCCGTTACTAAGCGCTGATAAATTATCTAAAATTCCATGTTGTTCATTGGGATTTGACTCTTTAAATTCTGAATGTACTTGTTGAGTTTCATGCATGTACTCATTAGTAGAACCACGATCTTCAACTGCCTCATTTACATCCTTATAAACTTCAACAATTGGTTTTGATGAAAGCTTTGGAAATGCGCGCGACTGGGTGCATTTTGGTTCGCGCTGCTTTCGATCACGCAGGCGTTCTTTTTCAAATTCTCGACTAAGTTGCTCCACATGCTTAGCTAGAGTAGAACTTTTTGAATCTCTAGATCTGTTGTTTATGGATCGTGGAATCATTGAGTGACCTGCCTTCCTATGAGCCTTTATAATTCCAAGACTTAGGCGTTCGGTGAACTTTTTATCATTTGGTTTCGTAAGCTCTGTTCCAGATTGCCTTATGATATCGGGAGATACCGCTAAGTTTTCTAGTGTAGGTCTATGATCACCTTGCTTGTTGTGAGTCTTGCTGATAGGGAATTTTCGGCAGGTGGCACCAGGAGGTTGAGATTGGGTTCTAATTAGTGCTGGAGGATTAACTCCACAGTTTCTACGAGATACAATACGTTCAGTAGGTCTAGGAATGCCAGAAGTTTCAGGTAAGCCTAAAGCATTCTCTGTGCTCAATGAATTAGCTTTCCGTGGTTTCTCTATATTATTCGGTAACGTTGAATCTATCATGGTATTTTGGAGGTTTTGATCATGAGATTCTGAATTTAAAGGAATTTTCGCCAAATTTTCAGTGGGTAATGTTAGTAATAGTGAAGTCTCTTGAACAGCTTGATTACTTTGAATCAGGGATGCTAGATCGATGTTTTCGGTACATGGTTGAGTTAGTCTAGACTCATCGAGCTGTTGGTCGTTCTCAAAAATCTTACTCTCTTCTTTGCTTCGATTCTCTTCTACTACAGATGGTAAGGTACAACGTCTTCCTCCTGCATTCATCTTTGATAGGTCTTGGTTTAAATTGGAGGAAGCATCCAAAATTTTTTTCTCAAGATCCAATACATCGCTTGGCTCTGGTGTAGTGATTGGAGAAGATGAATCTTCACGATCAATGAACATCCCGCCTAGTTGAAGAACCACCAGTTGTCTAATATCCTTATCTGAAGGGAAGAAGTTTGCATCAAATTCGGCAAAGGCATCATCCCACTGTACAACTTTTTCTTGCATGGCTCTGGCTGCTCGATTAAGAGGTATTATCTCGTAATACTTTGATTCCATGTACTTTTTTTGTAGCTTTCGAATGATGGCCCCATGCTCCTCTTGTGCGAGTCTGGCAAGTCTGTCTACTTCAGCTTTGCAGGCTTCAACTTTCTCAGGAGCTACACTATCTATGTTGATTCCCTTTATCCTGGAATTTACTGAAGCCATAAATCGATTCCATTTTTTTTCATAGTTACTGAATATATCATTTTTTAATCGTAGATCGTGCTCAACCTTCCATGTAATGCGTGTTCGAGGAACAATTATTTCTAGAAGGTCAATTGGATCATAATGAATCCGAATCATTATATTTCGGTATCCAAAATAACGTATATGATTTCGATGGATATCATGAGGGCAAATCCCAGCTCGCAAACGTAATTCGCTACTCCAGAAAGATAATTCTAGATACTTTCCTAGAGAATATTTCCACGAATTTTCTGACATAGGCATGACAGGAGTCTCTTTTTGGCAAATTTTGCAATAACTCCACATTAGAATAGAATCTTGGAGTCCTTTAATCTTACAAGGAAAGTTCTCAACAAAAACTGTTATACGTGCCTCACCGTGTACATAAGTTCTATGATGCTCAGACATTTTTCGCTCGCAGCCATTAGAAGTACAAGTTGCGTTTGCGCTTAAACAGAGATCCTCGACGTATTGTCCAAGTGTGCAATCTGGATCAAATTCCGCATGTTCGTTATAGAAGGCTAGAGTCAGTAATTCGGGGCCTGCACAAGGGATAAATGTTGCTGTACAAACAACTGTGTACAAAACTGTTATGTTTTGGTGTGCATATGGTTCAAATAAGTTAAGACTACCTTGGAGGTAATTCTCCCATTGACGCTTTTGTGTCTGGTAATTATGTAATGCTTTGTCGTATTCTGCATCATGTACAGCGTGTAATACCTCCATAATCTGTCGGGGTGCTCCCTTAACAGGGTCATGGACCATTTCGGGTTTTATTAGCTGAAATTTCAGAGGCTTTGTCTTTTCAGTATCAGTTGATTCCTCGGTATTATCCTGATCTCTAAGCCGTTTGAAGTATATTAGCCTGCGTTCTTGTTCACGTGCCTGCATTAATAAATATGGTAGCATAAACTTGACAAATGGCGAAGCTGACAATATTTTTGTTCGATGTTTTGCAACTATATCACTATAAAAGGTGGGCATTGGAATGTCTTCTGGCAGCTGACTTTCGTGGGCAGGATTAGTTTGTAAATTAAGAGTGGGCTTGAGGGAAGAATTTTTTGAAGCAGCAGGAATGTCTTTGAATTTTTGGTCCTCGAGCTTATTATCAATTTGGGGCTTCCTATCCTTCGATTGACCTTCATCGGAAACAGAAGTGGCTTTGGCTTCGTCAAATTTTTTGGGTATTGTCTCATCCGTAAGCTTTGACGAATTAAGTTTTTCGCTTGATGTAGATAGGGTGTTGCATGCTTTCTCAGGGTCGGAAAACTTGAGACGAGGTATGAATGAGTCTTGTTTACTACATGACAAACTTACGTTATTTTCAGCAATTGATGGGATAAGCACAAACTCATCACGCATCAAACAGGTCTCTAGTTTAAGATTGTAGACGACATATACCATAAACTCTGTGATTCGCTTCATCTTTGAGAGTATCGATGTATTTGCGCCTCTAAGAACAATTGTACACCCTAGATCCTTCGAACATCCGGATAGGTAGACGTAGGTCTTCTTTTTACGGGGAATATCATTATGAACATATGTCTTAAGATCAAAGCCAGCACTCTTCCCAATATGAACCTGCTTTAGAGCGACCATATCGATCGAGGAAATAATCTCGGTTTGAGCACAACGCGAAACAGCTTCAATAACAGACTGTTTAACATTATATGCGACAGCAATATTAGCTTCTGTTAAGTATTGAAGAGCTAATCCGGATACGTGCTTCTGTACGAGAAGTAGTTGAGGCTGCAGAGAAGCGATCCGATTCACCATGTTCCTGAGAAATTCTTTTTCCTGAGCAATAACCGGTTCAAGGCTCATAAAGTGGTGTTGATGGCGCTGGTACTCTATTGGAAATGAAACAATTACAATTCGTGGGTTGGATATTGATCGAGACATACTTTTTAAGGCAAGGTTTTTGGTGAATACCACGCCAGACACATAAGCTGTATCTCCAGGTTTCCCACCAGGTATTTTTTTAAGTTTTACATAGTGTCGTATATCAATGTCATCTCCAGCCCTCACATTTGGGTTTACATCATCAGTACTCCGCAGAAGTATGGGTACTAATGCTTTCTCCCATGATGATAAATTGGGAATGTTGGCATCTTCAAGCAATTGACGTAGGAGCCTACGCACGTGGTGAAGACTGGCATCATTAAGCTCAACAGCTGGGGCATTTGCGTCTCTCATTGATGCACTTCGAGTCATTCGAGAAGTCCTAAGCATAAAAGGCGTAGAGGAAGCTTCCATATCAGTTATTTCATCGCACTTTCCTAGCCCGGTAACTTGTTGAAGCGGGGATGTTCGTGTACAATGAAGATTGTTATTTACAGAACTTAGATTACGACGGCGGCTTGCTTTCGAATACCCTCCGGCTGAAATATTACAGCCATTGTCGTCGAAATTTCGAGTAGTAAAACTGGCACCGCTGATGCTTTTATCTCCAGTCCTTATACGGTGCCTTTTTCCAGAGCTTAACAGGGATCCGAACCCCGATCGATCATTTTCGAATGTAGGCGACATAATACTACCGTGATTCATAGCTGCAAATATGCTTATCTGTTCATCAGCACTTGAACCTTCGTCAGACATATAAGGCGCTAAGTCCGGGTCGATAATATTATCATCATGAAACGCTGGTAACTTTGACCTGCTACTCACTTCATCATTGATACCCCGGTGAAATGGAGGACGTTCCTCCGAAGCGGCCTTAAATCGACCGATGAAACTTTGCTTAGAATGATGTCTCTTGTGACCGGATGGAGGTGGCTGACCGCCTGTAGGGGGAGCTCTAAGAGACTTGGAAGAGCTCGGGCGACTTAATTGCGGTATATCTATTTCTAAAATAGCAGAGCGTCGATTTTCAGATTCGTCAATCCTCCGAGTTGCAGGGATAGCCATCATGGGAGTGTCAAGTGGTCGGTTTACGCTATCTACGGTAGATACTTCAATATCTTGAGATGGAAGGGTTGTAGCCTGTATATTATCAGTCCGAGATGATGATTCGTACTTAGCTTGCTGTGACTGGAAAAAGCTTGGCAAGGTCGCATCGTCCGCAGAGTCATCGGATGCACTACTATCATGACGTCTATTTATGATATCGAGACAAGTAACGCAAATTCTTAAAGAGCCTTGTACTCCAAATCGCTGTCCGGATATAATTGATGTGCATTTCGAATCGAAGATACAGCCACAAGTACGACAGTGATGTTTTCGTCGGAAAGCAGAAAATGTATCACCGCATAAAAAACATTCTTTGCAAATCTCATCAGCCATCCAGAATTCCTTACTTAAAACTTGTTTCCTCATTCTCTCAAGCCTAGAGTTGACTAAGTCTGGAACGACTTTATTTGCGGCCATACCTGGAATCTGAAGTTTGCCTAATCCTCCTAAATTAACTTCTCCATTAATGGAAAACGATCCATTACGAACACTGTTATTTTCTGATGTGCTAATTATACTTGGAACAGGGATGCTACGATCCATGGAGGCTCGTAAACTCTTGTAGGCTGGTAAATGAGATTGTGAAGTGCAATCGGTAATGACTGATTTTTTATTCCCACCGCTAATGCTCGACGCAGTACTATTATTTGCCTCTGCCGCTTTGAAAAAAGACAAAGCTGTGGACGTCATATTAGCGGAACTAGACAGCCGAAGGCCGTTTTCAGTAAAGCTATCTACGCTTACGAGCTTTGAGTCTGTTACAGCCTTAACACCAGAATCAGTTAGGCCTCCGTCGACGACACTATTAGCTTGGATTTCATAATTAATACTGGAGGGGTCTAGCATTGAGGTCCGTTCTGATTTCGTTTCCTTGGGCCCGATACAATTAAGACTCTCCCGGTTACTTGACTTAGAAGTATTAGTTGGCTCAGTAATGAAATTGTCTAGACGGAGGCGGTTAAGATCGTCTTCTTTGAATGCATTGATATTAACGGATGCAACAGTGGGGACTACTGCTGACGATGTCGTAGCTTTTGACATTGAAGTCATGGATATTTTCCCAATGGAGGTAGATTTTAGTGAAGTTGATTTTAGAGTAGAGCCGTGGGTACCTTTGGCTATTTTTAAAGTTTGTAAATGAGGCTCGTAATGGTGTCCCGCAAACGAAGATGCTGTTGGGGATTGAATTCTGGAGGAAGCCCCAGACGGCTGTCTAGGTGATCTAACAAATACATTATCGATCTCATCATGTTGTGGAGATGTAATAGATTTTGAGACTTCAATTGTTCTGTTACAAGCTCTCGCACTGGAACCGTCAAACGCATATTGATCATCTACAATATTTGTTGATCCTGATCTTTCTCTCATAGCTCCTACAGCACCACAGAATCGATTATAAAGTCCCGAAATTCCATTTTGCATCAAATCCCCAGCAATACCCTTTGTTTGGGCATTTAAAGAGGATGAGGGGGTGGATGCAAATTCATTGAAAGTCGTCAAGCTTCCTAGTTTGCTGGCTGTATTATGTATTTTGTCCAAAGTCTGAGCAAGCTGCTCTTCGCCAGTTTGGATAGACCCGGAGGATGAACCTATTCTGTATCTGCTGTTGAGGCCAGAAAGTAATGGGGTACCTAATGAGTTCCTAGATGAATCATGAGAAGACATGACAGAGTTGGTAATCAAACAAGCAAATAGTTTTTCAGCTCGGAACTGATTATTCGATCTCTTGTTTGAGCTGGACTGAAGATAGTGGGGTTACTGCCGCCAGTACGGCTATGATAGTTATTGATCATATCAACTGTAGCAAAAGTTGAAGACGGGTTTATGTACTTTGATTGGTTTAGGGAATTCTACAATCTACACAATTGTCTATTAGCACTACGACGTATTATTATTTTTGGGATGGCTAACCATGACATGATTATCAATTCTTCGAATAGTATGTCGCTGCTTGCTTGCATCCATCAGATCTAATCATGAAAGTTTGGTTATGCAATAAATTTGTGCAAATATTTATGCCAAAATGATTGGCCAAGCGATAATATGCTACAGTGAGTTGATAAGGAATCGTGATTATGGATGCTAATCGCAGTGTTATCTAGAATGGGACAAGACTTAGACACCGGTTCGCGGTGTTTTACACAAACCTGGCAGGTAAGTAATCTCCCAGAGCCAGGTTCAGTCAAAATTTCACAATAGCAAAGATGACGGTCGACGAGGCATTGGTTGAAGTTACTCCGCCATGTCAACTTTCACTCCAAACAAGATAGAATGCTACCTGAGCCTTGATAAGTCTGCAAGTACACTCTCAATTCCATGACCATGCCCCTCTGATATTCTCTGGCCTCAGCTGGGGGACTATTCTCAACACCTGTTAGTGGTGTCCCCTACAAACCTCTAGCTCTCACTGTAGAGTATACAGAGCCGAGATTGAGTAACAAAGTCCTCACTTCGACGAGGATTCCCTATCGCTTTCGTGGTCTGTATCGTCTTCATCTCTCAACACATTCAACTATCACCATTATCATGAAGCTAACCACGATCAGATCAGATGGTAGGGTCGGGGCCCTTCTCATCACCCACCCTTGATCACGGAGGAAAAGCCATCCGATGAGTTTCGGGGGCAAACCCAGCACCCGACACGGCAACGGTGGATTGGATTAAGTCGGCCTCGACTGTTACAAAGAAGGGAGATATAGATGAATATGCGCAGCTCATGTGGTTCCGATTTATAGGCTTCGCCCGGCTGGGGCTGCAGGTTTTTTGAGACCTTTTCCCGCGCACGCAGTTTCCATTGCTACCATTTTTATTTTTTTTGGGTAGAAGGTTCTGTGGAAAATGTGGCTGAATTCCACGGCTAAACACTGAGCTGAATGGCTATTTATCGTGGGCAATGTATCAATGACTTTTCAAGTAACAAATGAGGATAGGAGCACTGTACAAGGTGTGGCCTGGGTCAGAGAGGAGCCCATTGTGCTAGATAGTCTATGACGCAATCTAAAGGCACCGTGTTATCGGTTTTCCGTAGGGTACGAGTAGGGTATATGTCGGAATACTCGGGTGGTATTTATATCACAATCTTTCTATAGCAGTAATAACAATTGGTGGTTAACATATATCTTCTTTCTTGACTTCTAACTAAAGGAAACACGTATATGCAGCAGTTGTCCCTCTCTCCTGACGCCATTCCTAAACAGGTAACTCATTACTCATCAACATAATTAATCATCATTTCTAAGGTATACATGAAAGGTTATTAAGTCATTAGGTCATTCGACAATATAAGTAGGGTATAGGTTTGGAGTATGGTGGTGATTCCTACGAGGAGGAGGTATAAAGTCAGCGTTAGGTATAGGGTTCACGGAAGAGGTAAAGGTAAAGAGAGTAATAGGTGAGGTTGGTACAATAACGGCAGTCTTCTTTAGAGAAGAGATAGGTATGTGAACAATAGGTATGAGTACAAACAGAAGACGTTGCTTGAAGAAGAATACTCCTTCACGTTGGGTGTGTGTGTGTGTTTTATTGTACTACTTGAGTCTATGACTATCTAGCACAATGGGCTCCTCTCTGACCCAGGCCACACCTTGTACAGTGCTCCTATCCTCATTTGTTACTTGAAAAGTCATTGATACATTGCCCACGATAAATAGCCATTCAGCTCAGTGTTTAGCCGTGGAATTCAGCCACATTTTCCACAGAACCTTCTACCCAAAAAAAATAAAAATGGTAGCAATGGAAACTGCGTGCGCGGGAAAAGGTCTCAAAAAACCTGCAGCCCCAGCCGGGCGAAGCCTATAAATCGGAACCACATGAGCTGCGCATATTCATCTATATCTCCCTTCTTTGTAACAGTCGAGGCCGACTTAATCCAATCCACCGTTGCCGTGTCGGGTGCTGGGTTTGCCCCCGAAACTCATCGGATGGCTTTTCCTCCGTGATCAAGGGTGGGTGATGAGAAGGGCCCCGACCCTACCATCTGATCTGATCGTGGTTAGCTTCATGATAATGGTGATAGTTGAATGTGTTGAGAGATGAAGACGATACAGACCGCGAAAGCGATTGGGAATCCTCTTCGAAGTGAGGACTTTGTTACTCAATCTCGGCTCTGCAGACTCTACAGTTAGAGCTGGAGGTTCGTAGGGGACACCGCTGACAGGTGTTGAGAAAAGTCCCCCTTCACGTTGGGTATATATGTACATCGGATAATAGGACAGCCCTAAGCACTGTCTCGAACAGTAGCACTACGCAATTCCTATGAAACGACGCTATGGTCCTGGGTCTGTCCTAATTGTTTAGGAACTCAATCTAACACCGAGTTGTGTTTAGCATGGAACTCCTCATGAGACACCATCCTAGCTTCCACTACGTTTATCCATGAAACTCAGATAGCATAATAGAACCATACACACACATGATAGTCAAGCTTGAATCCTAAGATTATCCAATTAATTAATTTCCAACTTCGAAATCTACGCTTTGTGCACAGGTTACCCTAGAATGCAAGCGACATTATAAACACCGCCATGGTTTGATGGTGCGGTAGTGCATCGTCTTGGCTGGTCTGCCAAGTAGAGTCTGGATAGCTTGAACACATATCCCACTCGAAACAGTAGATCGCTGGTTCAAATCCGGCAAAACACAACCACATTTCTCGCGGCGCTGGTATGCATGGATAATCAAAGGTTTTGAATTTCCCTTTGGTAGGTACATACGGAGAAGGGTCGTGTCAACCTAACCATGACCTGCATCCAAAGCGATGTGAAACCGACAAGAAAGTACATATAACCCTGCGGGCTAAGTGCGCCAAGATCTCACGTGAGACATACTGAGCTCTAAACGTTTTACCTGACGTTATCTGTGAAAATATCCTGTAACTGTTTGTACTCATGTAATCATGTATGAGTCGTATTCCTGTAACTATCTATATTCGTGTTATCTACGACTCGTAAACTTGTACTAGTATTACTCGCTCCTGACAGTTTCTGTTTGCGATATTGGAACTAATCGTGTTATTACTTCATACTTAGGACTATTTGACACATTAAGCTTGCACAATAGTATGGGGAGATTATATTGTCTGTACGTGGGTGATCGGATGAAGGACGGATGGACTTGTATTTAAAGAGAGATGGAATACTTCATAAGAATCAATCAATCACATTTTCTTCACTCTGAGATAAACTTCTTAGTCTCGATTTATCAACAGGTCGATTGTTTGTGTAAGCGAACATACATCGTAGTGGTATTTGCAAATGAAATCCAGAGCATGAGTGTCTCTAAGGTCAAAAGAGTCATCCAACATTTCAACATAGCACCGTTCATGTGTCATAGCTCAAGAGCTGAATATTCATTAAATGATTTAAAAAAAAAGCATCACCGTGTCCCACGCCCCGACATTGTGATACTTAGTTACTAATCCCAAAAGTCATTTTTCTAAACACGCTGAATTACTTCTGAATCAACTACCACGACCAGCCATGTCCCCCCCAGTCCTCTGCTGAGGCTGGCTCATGGCCACCTCTCCTAATCCGACACTCGACGCATCAGGACGTTAAAATTGACCTTAATGTACCACAAAAAATATTACCGCCTTCACCACCAAATAACTATTGTGATTTATGAGCACTGGATAGTGGTTTGGAGTGGACTTAGAGACAGTATAATAGTTGATGTGTTTGGATTAGACCAGTGTCAGGAATATACAGAGATGCTTGGATATATTTCAGGCTACTGTTTCTCCTTGGAGTATAATCCGAAGATCTATGATTCAAAGTGTGAGAGGTTCAGTTTTGACACTTGTGTGTTAAACTGTTACATCAGTGCATGTTAAGCAGTTACACAGCTCAGGGGTGTTGATGCATGGAACATGTTTAGCATAGGAAAACACCACCATCGCGAACATTAATGTAGCATTCTGTAAACGGGACTGTAACTAGATCTAACTTAAAGATTAAGTTTTGATGTGTTGCTAAGTGGATGGGTGACGTATGAATACTTTGGATAGATAGGTTATAAGTGACCTGGACCTGAAGTAAGGACGGTCAGGTTCTATAGGAAGCACATCTTTTAATATAATCAATTATCTTTCATCTACATTTACATCTACACTTTTATTATAATTTCTTTGCAATGCCTAAATTATATTTACACATATCGATATCTGAAAATCCATAATCATTTTATGCCTGTTGTCCGAGATTACAAAGTCGATAATGATGTCACAGGTAATCTATGTGAGATGACTCAGGAATGGATTTTGTGTTCTAAAGTATGAATATGAAGAGAAGTAATTATGTGTGTGTCACTGTGGGCAGTACTCGACCACTTATCTATCTACATGTTGGACTTTTAACGATCCCCCGCTTCCCCTATCTTTTTCCTCCTCTTTCTCGAGCCTGTATTCAAACTCGGGTTTCCTACTTATGGTTACGTAGACGACGTAGCGATCCTTTCGGTCGCAAAATCTCTGGTCGATACTTCTCGTTTAACCACCCATAGAGTTGGAAGTATAACCCGATGGTGCGATGAGAACGGACTTTCGTTGGCAGAAAACAAGACAGAAATACTGCATCTTCACAGATTCCGTCAACCCCCACCTCCTGTAACCATAAATGGTGTCTTAAAAACCACCAACTCTACTCTGAAGTGGCCAGGCGTCATTCTCG